GTAGAAAGGATACAGGAGATTCTACAATCGAATAAGGAAGCCAAGACATATATCGAGCTCGCATTAGATACAATTTGGAACTGCTTCCATAAAAATTTTTAGAAGAGAAGATGCGAGCTTCTTCGCAAATGGGAAATCAGCAAAGGTATCTTAAACAGAGACAAAAAGCAAAGGTGCAAGCTACTGACAGAGAAAGGAACAAGACCAGAATATAACAAACCAAGATCTAAAGGAGGGAGTATAGGGAGAAATAGTTTTTTAGAGAAAATAGATAGAAAACAGAAAAGGAAAGAAAAAGAGGAGGGATTAAAAAATATAAAGAATCGTTGGTATAATAGTTTTAAAGATTTAATTCAAAATAGTTGCAAGCACTTTTGGTATGGCTTGCATGGCTAACCTGGTATTAGCCTTCTGATCTCGAAAGAATTTTCGGACCAGTGCAGCAGACCGCTTCTAGGCACCTATGAGGTAGCCGGGGGATATCGGGCCTAGATATTAAGCTCAATATTATGTAATCTACTTATATAATAATCTTAATAAAGGATTACTGGCAAGGTTGCCAAAGTTAAAAAAATAAAATAAAATAAAATTTTGCAGTAATTAAGCCATATAAAAAAAAATTCTTGGTTTTCATAATCTGGCCAATTAAAATTTGAAAACTTGTAAAAAATTTTTTTTATATATTTTAATAACTGGATAGGTTTTTTAAAAATAATTTATAAAATTTTTATATATAAAATTTTAAAAAAAAGGGCTGGCCGGCCAGCTGGGTCAGTTTAAACAACTATATGTTATGAAACCAAAAAATATGTTGTTTAACCTTATAAGGATTATAAGGATAATTTAAAACATGCATATATATTATAATACTAAAAATTCAAATCTGTTAAAAAGCTGTAGTTTTTTAATGATTTTAATATGTATATAGATTATTATTAGCAAACATAGCTTTTTTTTGAAAATTTGTGTAGCTTCATTGCATTTGCTACATACGTATTGATTTTTGGTAAATTTAAGGCTAATTAAATAAAAAATGCTTAATTATTAATAAATATAAAATAAGTGAATAAGTAAATACTTATAAATGAATTTGAGTTTATAAATATAATAAAATCAAAAAATGTTTAAAAAAATGATATTAATCCTCAAATAGTAGCCTGACTTAATATTAGAATCAGATTAAAATGAAATTTTCCTAGCTTAATTTAACAATTATATATTGTGGAATCTTAATTTAATAATTATATGTCATAGAAATCTTTTTTTGAGCTTTGGATTAGCATTTAGGATTTCAATTATTAATAGAAAGTATAGATAGATTTTAAAGTTTTAAGGGATCCCAAACTTTATTTTAATCTGATTTGCAGTAATAAATATAATATTACAGTGAAAATAGCTACAGTAAAACCTCCATAAGAGCACCCTCTATAAGTGCATATACTCTTTAAATACATACTCAAATTCAGGCTCAACTATATGGTTGACCTTCATAAATGCACTTTTTCTTATATAGTAAAACCTCTATAAGTACACCTTCTATAAGTATATACTCTCTCTAAATGTATTCTCAAATTCAGTCCCAACTATATGGTTGATCTTCATAAATGCACTTTTTCTTATAATTCTCTAAGTGCATGCTGTAAAAATTTTGGTTCTGGATGTGTGCATTTATAGAAGTTTTATTATAATTCTCTAAGTGCATACTGTTAAAGTTTTGGTCTTGAGTGCATGTACTTATAAAGGTTTTACTGTATTTAAAAAAAAAATTATTAGACAATGAGTTTAAGTTTAATATATATGAAATAGTTAAAGGCTCAAATATTAATAATTAAAAATGTATAAATGAAATATATATAAGTATCACTGTTCAATTTTAAAAATTTAAAAATTTAACAAATAATAATATAGAAAGTCTTATCAACAAGTATTGGAAATTTAACTCTTCATAAAAAAACTCTATGAGTCTAATTAGTTTAGTAATTAAATAATATTATAAATTATAAACTTTTCTTAATCCAGTCATTTACAACTATAATATTTTTTAATATAAAGGAAATTATTCATATTAGCAATGATTTAATAAAGCAAACCAAAAAATTCATTCAATTCATTTCCTAATTTATATCATTTACCTCTTGTTACCTATGAACCAGTCTAATAATATTAATAATTGATTATAAAAAAACTTTACCAAAAAATATTATTAAATATATAAAGTAATTTTAAAATACTTTATAAAAATTTATAAATGTGAATAACTTTCCTGAAATGAAATCATGTATATGTTGTGGAGCAACAAAGCTAATTAATGAATTCATAAGGTTTAACAGAACAGAAAATAGCCCATTCACAAATTGCAACTATTGCTTAGAACATAAAACAAAGTTCAATTAGCAAAAAAACCCAGATTAATAAAAATACAACACAAGATGCATTAAACTATCCATTATCTGAAAATGATCCTGAATCAAGTTTCCTATTAGATGCTGAAAATGACAATGATAAAGAGCTTGTATATGAAATAAAAGATCTTAAAGAACTTGTAGCTATGAATTTTTTAAATTGTGAAGAGAGTAAGTATATTAAATTTTTAGTTATTATCAAATTAAATAATAAATTTATCGAAAAAGCTTTATCAAATGAAAGGGATTAAAAAAATAGTGGCCAAAGTTTTTATTTTATTGTAAATACTTTACTTGTTCTAATCAAAAATGGATCACGATACTACTAGAACTTAAAAAATTAATACATAAATAAAAAAAAAACAACCAAGCTTACAGATATGCTACAGCTTATTTGATTTGTTCTTAAAGAATTAAGCATTAGCATAAGTGTTCTGATGATCAGCCTGTTAAACGAATTAGTAAAATATGACCAGCTATTGAACAATTTTCCTGTAATGAAAATATCACAATAAAAATAACATTCTATAAAGCAAGTTATATTATCAGTTGAATATTCAAAAGGCTATAAACAACTAACTTACCATTCAATTAAATTGCCTCAAGAGGCAATTGCTTGGATTAAATTAAATTTAAACTATAAATTTTATACAATTAAATTTTATAAAAAGCTTTCTAGTAAAAAGCTTATAGATTTGACAACTCACACATATTAACAAGTATATTATTGGGTATTTAAGCTTTCTGCTAGACAGTATATATCAAATATAAAAAACCAAGTAATATCAATAAAAGATTATATGCAACAATCCAAATTAATTAATGAAGGTTACAGGTTAATCTTCCATCTTGAAAAAATTTTGTTAGAGTACTCAGATTCATTACACCATTTATAAATAAAATTTCAAAAGACAATATTAGTAAAATTATTATCAACTCCATATTCAAAACTAATAAAGAGAAATTTGAACTCTTTGCCTTAATTGTTAATTGTAAAGAATTCAGAATGCCACTTGCTTATTTGTATTTTGATACTTTTACTGCATTATCAGACTATCTACAAGATCTTATAAATAGTATTAATAGCTGGACTCAAGTTCTTGCAGAATTTTTCTGATTAATTAGAAAAGAAGGAATCCTATCTTCATTTGTTCTTACTGACAAAGACTTAAAGCAAATCACCACCATAGAGGATGTCTGGTTTCAAAAAACAAATATCTAATTATGCTTATAGTATGTAAAACATGCTCTAGAATGGAAACTAAAAAAAACACTATAGAGCTTCAAACTACTCAACTCAAAAAGTGAAGAAGGCTAATAAAAAATTTGTCTTCATTGATTCAACGTGGATTTTTATAGGAAAACAAGTTTTATTTGTTCTACAGAAAATGCAAAACATATTAAAGACATGATAAAATAGCATTCAATATATCATTCACTAATTTTAATAGGATTAAATATTTTTATTACCTCTGATAAAATATATTATTGATGTGTTTTAGAAATTTATCAATATTGCAAACAAAACAATCTCATTCACCTGTGGGCTTACTTATAGGTAAATTGGTATAATAAAAAAAATTAGAAACATTTTTCTTATCATCTTACCCAAATGCTATACCTATAGCAAGAACCACAATAATCATTGAGTCCCACTAGCAAGTTATAAAATATAACTATAAATATAATTATAATAGACCTCAGCTTGATTATTTAAATTATATAATAGTAAAAAAGCTAGTCCTGGATATAATAAATACCTAGCAAAAATATATTAATAATCAAGAGTTTCTATTTTGGTAGGTTAATTTTAAAAATATTTAGAAAATAGACCTTGAAAAGAACATTTAATTCTTAAAAACTTACTATGTAGATATCAATAGATAGGTCTGCTCTTGCCTGACCTTTATAAATAGCCCATATTTGATATGCAAGCATCTGATACAGACGTATACTACCTATAATCCAAGTTTTTTTTCGCAATTTTCTAATACAATCTGTTAGCATAATTATCTATTCATTTGTTTTAGAAAAGAAAATCTTTTAAAAATTCATTTTGCTAATAATTTGTAAAACCATATCTCTCAAAATTATTCAAATGAACTAAGTATTATACTTGAAATATCTAACATGAGTGAACAAAATAAAACTAGCACCATATCTGAAATATTAAATAAAAATATCCAAGATGTTTATATCTGATTTGATATTATTGAAAGACAAAAAGCTGAGTTAGAACTTGATAAAAAAACTTTCAAATCTTTAATATCAATTGTTGAACAAAACATTGAAAATGATAACTTCTATAATGAATACAAAAAACTTAGACAAAATTTAATAAATAAAACTCTTGCTTGTAACAAAGCATTAAATGCCAGAACTTAATAATCAACTTGGAGGCTATTTAATAACCAAAAATTAGCATTTTAGTTAATTAATGATCCACAAGTCATGTGAAGAATGATCATCTCTTATATAATTTGCTATGGATAGATAAACAACTAAGATATAAACACTTTGAGATAAACAATAGGAGACAAAAATAATATTTAATTGGCTAAATATGTGTAAATAAAATCATATGTCAATTATCACATTACATAATATATAAGTGCTTTAATTGAATATTTACTTTAATTGAAAAATTAATACATTAATATTATATAGAGAAATCAAAACATTTTTACTATATAGTATATATTTACTAGCAATACTATTTTTTGTCAAGCTTTACATTATCATATTAAACAATATGAAAAAGAATTAAAGATTATTGAAACTTATACAGAGTATATACATTAATTTAGCTAATAATATATACAAATAGTCACAACTCTTTCTGACAATCATCTGGTTAACAAAAAACAAGAAATCGAACTATTGTCAGCGCTATAGAAGACGCTTAAGTAAATAATAAACTTGGTCCTACAAAAGTAAGTGTGTTGTCGACAAAGTACCAAGAGTATAAAACTGGAGAGCGGTCTACTTTGGACTGGTTTTAATAGAGGTTAAGCTCTTCTTCTGGTGAACTTCTCTGCTTATTCAGCATTCAAACCAGAAGGATATTTTGGAAACACAAAACATCTAGAATGACACTAGGAGTATTACAAGCTTAAGGTATATCTATACAACCATAAAATTTACAAGGAACAACCACAGAAAAGTTTC